TTTAACAGACTTACACTTAAAAGCAAGACATTTTGTTGTGCTCATGACCACACCTGCCTTTTACCACTCCCACTTTCAGCCACACCTATTTTGCCCTAATTGCAGTAAAATTATGCAGCCCCTTACGCTAAAATGTTAGAGCTAAAGTTAATGTCATGGCACAAATAAGTCATTCACCTGCATTTAAACAGTGACATTTACTTCCATGTAATCTCATTTGACTGACTATCTCCTGAAAATAATGGCAGTGTAACTGTAAACATGATGGTTGAGTTGTGAATACCTTAATTTTTGCTATGCTACATTTCAAATGTTGTTTCAATTTCTTCACCATCTGAACTTGAAATTGGAGAGTATGTCGTGGCAGGCAATGTATGACACATCACTAAGATCATTATCAGCATCACAGTAACTTTCACTATCAGTGCTACTACTTTCATACATTAACCCACCATCATCAGAATCTGGGTTCAATAAGTATCGGTCTTGTACAGTATTATGATTTTATATAAATATTAATACCATAAAAACTTGATTATACATACCTTCTGTGGAAGTACTGAAACAATTTTATTTTTCCCTTTCATTACTTTAGTGTCATAATCTTACTTCAAGAGTAACTGAAATAATTCTTTGTGTCTTTTATAGGCTTAATACAATCTTCTAACCATAAAACTGATGTATACTTAATAGTAATCACAAAACATTGATTTACTGAGATATGGGCTTCAAAAGTATGCATTGTTGCTTCCAGCCATTTTACACCCTGCCATGTGGGTGTGGCTTCTTGTGATGTCATACAAGGCAAGGCAATGATTATGGCTATAGCTAGTAATGGTAATTCATCAATTTCTCCAGACTTTGATAATAACAAAATCATTTCAAAACCCATTGCTGTATCAATTTGCATTAAGTTGTTTATCTTCAGATGATGAAAACTCTGATAGTGAGGCAATGGCAATAGCTACCGAATGCATTTGTTGCTAGGAAATAAATAAAGTCATGGAGACAATATTTGAGCTTCCTACTCCTGTGAGTTGTTTGCTACAGATTGCCTTAATGTTTGGGTCCTTCAAGCGGCGTCTATCAGTATTGACAGCAATATGGTGGGCTTAATGCTTCTACCAATGCATAAGGTTCTTGAATGTGTAACCATATTGTACTTATTTCATGTTTATTAGGAAGTACAGATACTCAAGCTATCAGCCAGCATTGAGGCTGGCTTGGGAGGTATGGGAAAGTTCTCCAGCAATCTTGTGCAGGTGCAGAAATTTGAAGATTTCCATCTACCACATATACAGGACTTAATAATCCCAAACTATAGATAATTATCTATTCTAATGATAATTCAAGTTTCACAAAAACTGGTTTTGTGTCCATCTATTGCGTCATGCTTGTCTAGATGTTTATATGAATGGCAAAGAGGTGCAGGTACATGTGAATTGTCATCAAAGAGGGTAAAATCTTGGGGAATACCATTAAGAATACATATGACATCTTGCTTTAAATCATCTACATAATCTAAAGATAGTGATGTAAAATTATTGTTTTCTTATCATTTTTACCATATGTTGATTTGGTTGTAATTTTCCTACCAACGTGTTGGCCATGTTTGCTCTTTGAAAAGCTTATTGAATATCTTTATTCACCATCTCTGGTTTGTGCTAGTACATTATTGGAGTTTTCTTTCAAATGTAGAGCAGCTAGTCCCAATCTGTTTAATAGAAACCAAAATAGCATGATGTGTGAAAGTACTGCACAGCTACCTGCCAAACATTCCATGATGAGAAAATGCAATAGACTGAGGTAGAAATTAAATAATTTGTAACGTAACATGCCCAAGCTAGATTTCTCTCTTTTGAGTGAAAAGTTCTCTTTAAACAAAAAACTCACTCAACCACTAGCTCTACCTTACATAACAAAATTTAAAAGACTAATTAGTGACATACATTTACACATAACTTCACATAAACACATAACAGCCTAGATTTTCCTCACTTAAAATATAATTGTCCAGTAAGATCAATGGTCAGATTGCTCTTCTTCATTAACACTCCACATTTCGCCATTCTTCTCCTGGCAAGAATTGCTTCTCTGCATCATAGGTGGCTGCAGGATTTGACTGCAAATAGGGCAAAGGTGTGGTTGAAAGTGGGAGTGGTCAAAAAGTAGGTGTGGCTATAACCACACCCACATGCCTTGCTCTTGAGTTTAAGCCTGTCATGCACTGTAAAAACTGAGCTGTCATTTTGACAATTATTGTTATTTTGGCAAGCTGTTATTGTGACAATTTAATGTAAAAATTACAGTTCATGGTTATTTTAGCAAACATACTAAATAGATTTTTCCACAAATGACTTTAAACAGATGTATAAATTACTGTCTCCATAGTATGTGTGTGCATAATAAGTTTGTAGACAGTATGAATGGTTTATGAGATAAACTGTATTGCTGTAAGGTGAAGACAAAATTTGATAACCTATTATATGATCATTAATTCCTGCAGTAAAGTATTTCTAAATAACAACAAAAACTATTTCTGATATCAGTAAAATTTCCTTCACTTTGACAAATTGTGGTAAGTCATCTTCTTGCCAACCATACAGTAAAAAGAAAGGATGTTGATACCGTTCTCCATAAATATGAATCCAGTTAGGTCTATGAAAGTGTAAGTGAATTTTAAGTTACTGTTATTTATACCTTGAAACAATATTAGATAAGCTCATGTTGGGAATCAGAGTAAAATTTCATCTAAAAGATGTTCTTCCTGCAGTAAATTGGTCTTACCTAAAATGTATAATAAGCCATAAACGCTACATGGATCTACACAATTCAACTTACAGGGTCCTGAAAGCAATTCATAGTAGCTAAAAAAAGTTTCTGCACACATTAGTTTTTGATGACAAGTTGCAATTGACAAAGGAAGATTCTTATAATTTTCTAATTGAGCAATTCTTTTGAAATATTATGAATTTTTAGCTTCCATCCTCATACACCAGCAGTTTATCAATGGACCAACCCTATATTAAGTAAATACTGAATAATAAGTATTTGTTACTTTTATAATACCTCAACAATAGACTAGGTAAATGTATCAAATAGTGAAGCTTTGGTGTGATCGAATTATTAGGATAACAAAGTCGGAATTGATGATGATGACAA